ATTCACAGGCGTTACAATCCAGGTGGGGACCTGCCCCCAGCCCCAGTGTGGAGCCAGTGGGCGTGCTACACTCCCTGGAACACAGGTATCAAGTCAGGAATGACTTGGTTTGGCCTGCTCAGAGCCAACAGCTACAAGACTGTACTGGGAATGCCGAATGAGACGGGCACTTTTCCCCAGTGGCCTTGACCCAGCAAGGATGCAAGTGGAAGCTGCACCATCATCCTACCACCAAACAGAACCTAGAAATGAAGGCACTGGATGGACAGACCTGAGAGAACAGTTTAGTCACACCATTTGTGTGCTAGATCAAGCCTTACCTGAGGCCAGCCCCCGGTGGCCCTGTCAAAAGGCACCAGTGAATTCCATTTTGTTCTTAATCCACTTTGAGTTTTCTGTCATTTGCAAACAGAGTCCTCCCGGAGGCAGCAGTCCTTCCGACACGCAAAGCTGACCATGTCCCTGGTGTAACCCATAACGGCTCCCACCGGCTCCAGGGTAAAATGCAAGCTCCCCCAAACACTTGATGAGCAGACCCTACTTCTCATCAAGCTGCAGCTCCCGACTTCCACACACACCTTCTAACAAGGCCATCCCAAAACCAGTCACATCTGTCACATCTCTGCCCCAACTGTCCCCACCACCAGAGACGCCCTCCACTTTCTATCTGGCTAACTCCACTCCACCCCCCAGATCCGTCCGGATGGCACTCTGCACTCAGGCCCCAGACGGAGGGAGGGTTCCCCCTCTGGCTCCCTACAGCTCCCCTTGCCCGTGACAACTACAGTCCTTTACCCCCTGTCGGTGCAGCTGCAGGGTGGGCGTGCTCTCTGCCCCCACCCAGGAGTGCACGGGGGCCGGGTGCTGCTCAGGACCTTGGCCTCACAGCCTGCACAAAACCTAACATGTGATAAGCATGCAATAAATATTTGTGGGACGAATGAGTATGTGTTTACATAGACAAAAAGGAGCTGAATGGGAGAATTCAGGTAAGAGACGCAAAGTCAGGAGAACAGGGAACAGACTGTTCTTGCAAAACACGCCACCTCCAGCCATTTAATTGGGTGGAAAAGGAGAGTTTCCATTAAGGCTTACATTAGCCCGGCAGTCGTGGCTCACCAAGGACCCAATTACTACGATGTGGCCGCGTGGAGGGTGAGGGCTCAGAGGAAGGATTCTGCTCTGCAATTAGGGGCTCATTGGGAACGGTTCCTCTAGAGCCACACTCTCAAACCTCATCGGCTGGGGCACGCGTCACGACCAGCCACCTGCTGCAGGCATCCGGAAGAGAGGCCAGCGAGAACAAAGCCATCCACCCATCTCCAGGAAAGTAGGTCTTCTGAATACCAAAAGTTGCTCAAGTATAAATACAAAAAGGGCTAGAGCTCAGAAGCTGCTGTCAAACAGACAATTCCCCGGCCCAGATCAGGCTTTTTCTTCCCCTTTGCCCCGGGTGATCAGCAAAATGCGAGGACCACAGAGAAACGCATTGTCTGTGGGAAGGAGAATAGGAAGAAAGAGTTTCGGGTGGACGTGAAATGTCAGGTTCACCATATAAACCACCTGGTGAGCAGAAACCAGGACACGGGAGGGGCCCGGGCTGCTCGCCCATAAAGGATGACTGATCCTGTAGGGAGAAGGGGATGACGTGGCCGGCGGCTCCAGCGGAGAGCAAGTGGGTCAGCTTATTCAAGTCACCTCCCAGACGCAGCAGGTAGAATCCTCGGGGACCGGATACAGCGGCTGGGGCCGTGCGTGGCCGGCGTCTGCTCTAGTCTCTGCAGGTCTCAGCTCCGGGTCCCTCCCGTCCGGTCCACCTCCCACACTGTCTCAAGACTTTGTCCCCAGAACACAGCCCACCAGTCATTCCTCTGCCCGCAGATCGTCCCCACCTTCCGCTGCCTCACCACACAAAGCCCAAATCCCTCCCCATGGCATCCCACCCCAACCCTCCAAAGGGTCCCTCATCCAAAACCCCCCAAGCCCAGAGCGGGTGCCGTACAGGCAGAATAGAGAACCCACCGACTCTTGGGTACATGCTTTGTCTCCTTCTGTCTTTTACTATCTCTCCACTGCAGGGGGATAATAACCAGACACGATCCTAAGGTTGTCGTGACAACTAATTTAACAAGAAGCAGCCGAGCGGTAATTGTTGGGTCTCCCCTTCCTGTCCGACCATCAGCACCTACACTGGGTGACAGGGAGTCACCCGCCTGACACGCTCACCCAGTGCGCCAAGTACTTGCAAGGCTGCAAGGTCCAGGGGTGCCTGGGTGGCTCAGTTGGTTAAGCATCTGCCTTTGGCTCAGGTCATGATCTCACTGGGATTGAGCCCTATGTCGGGCTGCCTGCTCAGCAGGGAGACTGCTTCTCCCTCTCCCTCTGTGCTTTCTCTCTCAAGTAAATAAATAAAATGAAATCTAGGGGGGAAAAAAGGCTGCAAGGTCGGTCCAGCCATGAACTCACAGCCAGCCCCTGCACTCCCAGTTACGACCGAGGGGGTGTGTGAATGTCTCACTGCCAGACTATAGACTCCCAGAGGCAGAGGCCAACCCCTACCACCCCTGTGCCCCCAGAGGTGGGCCCAGCACAGAGCAGGCATGCCCACCTGACGGCACCGAGCCAAACCAGACTCCAAAAGCCTCAGGTATGTATAAGGATCCAGGGGTATAACAGCCTCATAAGCTAACTGTTCACGTGATGAGGGGCCACGTACCGTCACGTCACCAATTCTCAAAAAATCCAGACATTGAAACATCCGTCTCACTGCACATCAGGTATGACCTAATCTCAAAGATCCTTCGTGTACGACTCAGGCACCACCACAAACATCTTCATATGGTGGCTGAGCATTTAAAACAGACACTAATTAGGCTGAATTATAACAGAGCCTCAACTCTACGTAAAACATCAGGATGGCAGCTGGATGGTGCTAGCAACACGTGTGACCACCCCCCCATACACACCACCACCACCACGCTAATTCTGAAAAACCCAGAGTGCCTCCCAAAGCACCAACAGGGAGCCGAGGCCAGCCACCATGCATGGTTGACCAGCGACCAGGAGAAGGAAGCCACAGGAGGCTCAGCAGCATGGCTCAAGTGACTCACAGTGAAATCAAAATGCAGCCCCACGCCAGGAGCAAAGGATGGTGGAGCGGGGCTCCCCCAGGCAAATGTGTTTCTCTGGGTATGCACAAGAGCCCCAGCTTCCCAAGGACCTCAAGGGCCACCATCATTTAATGGGCGCTCGTTGGCATAGGTTATCTGATGAACAGCCGGATCCACGATCCGGAGGCCAGCCTCCCCAGGCCCCCAAAAGGGTCATCCAGTTCTGCCTCCCGCTTTCTCAGTCCCCCGCTTAGCACAAACACCTAGCAGTCACTGCATCCTGGCTGCATGCATGCTAATCTGGATGGGATGTGTGTGCTCTGTTCCCCTGATTTGGGGATGGTGCATTTATCACATTTCCACCAATCAATCGTGCCAGGTTTTGGTGAGGACGTGCAAGCAATTTTAATCACTGGTCATGAAAATCCGTCATGAGTTAACAAAAAGGGAGAGAGAGTCTAAAATAAGCAGAAGGTGGGGGCAGAGGGCTGACACCACCCCCAAAGAAACCCAGAATTATCAAACATGCCACACCGTTGTCTCCCCTTTGTGCTTATCGGCCGTGGCCACGGCCCCCATGGAGCCAAAGGGTGCAGGGTGCCCCACCAAAGCAGGAGGTTATGAAATCTGCTGATCATTTCCAGGAGCAGGCGAGCCCAACGAGCTGAACGCACTGGGAGAGAAATGTGCTTAATAAAGAGAAAACAGAAATGGCAATGCAGAAGTAAGCCTGGTAGAGCAAGTTCGGTGGGTCCCTGTGCTACAAACTTGTATTAATTAATCTGATCAGTAATGTCCCGTCGTATTCAGGGAAGTCCAGAGCGTGTTCTGCTGAGAAAATAAGAAGATTAAATCATTAAGTCGTTAAAAAAAAAAAAAAAGCGATTCTATGTGCACCTGCCACCGGAGACCCGGGGGGGGGGGGGGGGGGGGGGGGGGGGGGCGGGGGGGGGACCAGAGAAGGGGCTGAGGAAACGGCAGCAGCATGGCGCCCTCTACTGGCCTATCTCCACCAGCAGAAGCGAGACCAGAACCAATCTGCAAAGGTTCCATCCGAACTAAAGAATCCGGTCTGCTGGGCAGATGGGCTCCTTCCAACGGGGCCAGTCCTGGTGATGGCAGCTGCGTCCTCACCTGAGACACTCTGGGGGCCAACGCAGCATTTCGGGTGGCCCGCCTGGGCAAGCACAACCCCACCCTAGCTCAAATGGATCCAACACTCCAGGCAACAGAGGAAAGGGATCTTCACAACCCGCCGGGGTTCCTGGAGACCAGCCTTTGGAGGGAAAGCCCCAAAGGAGTAGCTAGGAGCCGGAGGCCCGTGGAGACTCTCTCGCAGCCAGCCAGACAAAGCGAGGTTCCCCATCGCACCCCATACAATCCCATTGGGCCCCATCTCGTTGCTTTCCTTTCAAGCACGGTCACGTTTGAGGCATGTGCATGCACCCGTTGCTGGATGCGTGTCCATAGTGGTCTGGAAGGGCAGACGCACGGGGCCTGGCCCAGAGGAGGTACTCGATGACACACAGCAGGTTAATGGTGAATTTGTGGATGAATGAACAAGGGAATGTTTCAGGACCCTAACATTCCCCTCCGGTGTTCCTCTTTGGAACTCGTAGGAGCTCTTTTCTTTCAGGGCCTCTGGGCCCCGCTAAATAATGCTCCCCCTGCCCCCAAAGATGTCTCCGTCCTGATCCCTGGAGCCTGTGGCTCTGCGAGGCAAAAGGGACTTTGCAAATATGATTAAGTCAGGGATCTTGAGACGGGGAGTGATCCTGGTTACCCAGGGGTGCCCAAAGGAGTCGCAAGGGTCCTTCTAAAAAGGACACAGGTGGCGCTGTGAGCAACGAGACAGCAGAAGCAGCGAGAGATGCAGGCACTCTTGGCTTTGCAGACGCCGGGCGGGCCCCACGCCAAGGAACGCAGGCACCTGGAGAAGCTGAGAAGTCGAGAAAATGGATTCTCGCCTGGAGCCTCCAGAAGGAGCACAACCTTGCCAACACCTGGATTTTAGGACTTCAGACCTCAAGAACTGTAAGTCTGTGTTGCTTCAAGCCACTAAACTTGTGGTAATTCATCACAGCACCCAGAAAACTCAGACAGCCCCGGCTCCTCCATGCCATTTCAAAAGGCCCAGAACATTCTTTGACTGCACCCGTTTTACCGAGCACCTGCTGTGCGCCAGACCCCAGGTTGAGCCCCAGGGACACAGCCGTTACTGAAACAGGCATGGCCTCGGTCACACGGGCAGAACAAACATAAAGGAGCACATAGGGAGGAGTCCGACGGACGCTGCAGATAGAAACACAACTGTCCCCGAGCGCTGCAGGTCACGCACATGTGACGGTGAGGCCTGAGAAGACTGGCTTCTTGATGGCAAATCCACTCTCCCCCAGCGGCTCCTCAGAGGGGCCAGCACAGCAGCTAACGGGGCCACCACACCCCCCTCCTCCCGCACCTGGCTACTGAACGGGCCCACAGGGAGCAGGCGGGGATGTGCTAAGCCCCTGACCTTTCTGGCCACAGCCATGGCCCACCGCCTCCCCGGGCCTGAACCTTCTTGTCTCCTCTCCTCCCGGAGCACCTGCCTTAGGCATCATCTCAGTCCCCCCTCTGCTGCTCCAGGTCTCAGCCCCCAGGGCCCCAGGCAGCAGCCCCAGCCAGTTCCAAGCCGTTCTTTCTCGAGGTCATAGTTCAAGTGGCTGTACACAGTAAATGCACCAGCCCAGATGTCAGGGTCCTCGCCAGCCTCACGATACGCCCAGTAGCAGGATCATGTTAGCACACCGATGAAGGAAAGGCTACCCGCTCCCCCCACCCCCCGCCCCGCCACGGCTTCGCCCACACGGGCCCCAACCTGAGGACACTGGGAGGCACAGGCAGGGGGACGGGTAGGGAGGAGGAGGACTCAGCCTACCCATCTGGCTGCGACTATGGGCAAGGTAACTTCTCCCAGCATCGTGCCAGGTACGTTCAACACAGCATCTCCTCCGCACACAAGGGTTGTAGGGCACGGGGCAGGACGGGGGCCCGGGACTCCAATCCACAGCTCCCCACCATGCATTCAGGGAGCCGGGTGTTTGCACGTACATCACCAAGCCCGACTACCATGGCCGTATGTCTTTTCTAGACTCCTTGAACTGCCCTAGTTGTGAAGTTCAAGTGCCTGCAGACAGCAGTGTCTCTGAAGCCCCGAGCCACAAACTGCCCCCTCTTCATTCTCAAGTTCCCTTCTCATGTCCCATTCCACCTCCAATTTGAAACCCCTCCTCCATCCGCAAGGGCGGCAGGGAAGCGACGGCCTGCGGGGAGGAGACAGAGATGCCTGGGCCTGGCGCCCCGGAGGAAGGAAGCCTGCCCACCCCACATGCTCCTGCAGGAGCTCACGCAGGCTCCCCACCGCCGGGCCGGGGCCACTCCTGCAGACCAGGAGACGGAGACTCTGCAAGCAGGCGACCTGCCCAAGGAGAGGCAGCCAAGTGCTGACTTTCATCCTGGAACCAAGTCTCCCCAGCGACAAAGCGCTCTCCACCAAATAGCAGACAAGGGGAGGCACGGGCATTTCAGAAATCCTAGAAAGTTCTTATAGTCCTGGATCCCTGTAGTTAAGTAAAAGAGCAGGGAGGAGGGAGGGGCCAGGACACAAGAACAGAGGCAGGGCCACCGAAGGAGCAGCGGTGACTTCTGGGCACCGGGGATGGTGGTAGGGGGTCCTAAGTGCAGGGGGCGGGCGCCCTCCCTTACCCCCATTTTACCCATGAGGAACATAAAGGAATGGCCACGGCCCCAAGGCCGGCAGGAGATGGAGCTAGGACCTGTATCCTGCCATCCAACTAGCTGCGCGTCCAGAATAAATGCGTGCGCACTATCGTGAGCCCCATCACAGCTGCCCTGCCCCCCGCCCTCAGGCGCAGCAGACCTTGAGCCTGAGGAGGCGACAAGCACACTGACGACCAGCATTAGTCCAGAAAAGGCCTCTGGGTGCCAAGCAGAGCAGGCCGGGGGTGGGGGGCAGGGGAGTGCGGGCAGGTGGCCTCAGAGCCACAGAGGAAGGGGCACACTCAGGTCGGTCCCCAAGCTTTGGGAGCCTGGGGACCCTTTCCTAACCAAGAGTTTCACAGACGTCCACCTCCACTGGCAGCTGTACTTTCCAGGCAGAAAGCACGTGTTAAACTAGCTCGTGAGCATCCAGCAGAAGCTGAGGAAGCGGCAAACAGCAGGGCACAGGTGAGCAAGATGTGCGTTTGTTTGTCCCCATCGTTTCTGGTCGCCAAGCGGGCTCCACTGACCCACCTGGGCATTCCCAGGTGCGGTAGGGATTCAGCCTGGGGTCAAGGGAGCGGAGGAAGCAGTGGGTGAAGCAGAGCTAAACAGACGACGTTTTCTGCAGAATTTCTCAGAGCCTTGACTCTGCTCCTGCACCTCGTGGCTCTCCCAGGGGACAGGCAGTGCACGCAGCTACCCAGCGCCTCAGTGAGAAAGTCCTAGAGCAAGGTCCCTCTGGGCCTGAGGGGAGGGTGGCAGGGTCTGCCCCTCAGCCAGCCGCCAAGCCCTTCCATCAGCCATCCAGTCCCACATCCCTCCCCACCCCACCCCTGCAGGGGAAGAAACTGCGGCCTGCTTCAGCCGCTTTCTGCTCCTTGTGGTAAGGCCTTCTGTCTCTGAAAGAGCTGCCCCAGAGTGAGCAGGGAGCCTCCCTGCATCCAGTCTCCTTAAGCTCCTTCTTCAACTGCTAGTTCCTCCTCCAGAAAGGCCCCCCACACCCCTGCAAAAAGCCCGCTCAAAACAATGTGAATGATCAAGACACAGGCAAAAAATCAGCCTGTGACCTCCTTGAGGGAAGGGCTCCGATCTTGGTCACCCGAGGACCTAAGCCCCAGTGTCCTTTTTTTTTTTTAACCAGGCAGAGCCCAGGGAAAATGTGTTCGTTACTCCACAGGGCTGGGAAGGAGGATCCGTTGGGAGCTCTCTCCGGGTCAGAGGCACGGGGGCCTCCGAATAGCCACCACCTTACCGTCCCCAGCAGGCCCCAGGGAGATGGCCTTCAAGCTGACGTGAAGAGCTCCAACTGCTGTGTGACCTTGGCCAGCTTAGTTGGCCTCTCTGGGCTTCGGTTTCAACTGTGAAGTTTTATGAGGATCGCACGAGGCGCATCACCTGTCCCACCATCTCCTTCCCGGGTGGGAAGACGGAGCATCGGGGGGACTGTGCCGGCTAGCACAATCGGAGCTGATAACGAGCAGGCCGGGCTCACGGCTGCCTGCTCAGCGCGAACCCCTTCCGGCGTCTGCCACCCCACAAGAAAAGACAGAACGAATCGCTTATCCAGTGGTGACAGCAAGAGCCAGATCCCGGCCAAGATCAGCCAGTTAAAGGGGAAAGACAGAACCAAAGGGTCATTAAAAAGAAATCCATCATGCCACGCAGCCCCTAAAAGCAGGATCATTGTAATTTGTCCCTGAAAACATTCCAAACGCCATTCTTCTAGGCCCAAAGACCCACATGAGCCCCCCCACCCCGCCCCGGGCGACAGAAACATCTGCACACACCGCGGTGCACACAGCAGGCTCCTGTCCCTCGGAGCCAAGGGGAGATTCCCAAGGGCTCTCTTACCCCACCGTCCTCACGCCAACATCCTCGTTCCCTTGCCGGTCAATCAAACGGTCAGCCCAGGGCCCATTCTTGTCTAAACAACCCCCCCCATAAAGCAGAGCAGGAATTAGGGCCAACCCCAGGTTTGAGTCCTGCTGAAAATGGTCAGAAAACAGGGGGCACTCACTGGCCCGGAGGGGGTGCGGCTGGAGGGCGCGTTAGAAACGCAGATGAGCGCCAGGCCGGCGGGCACGGGGCAGGCACCCAGATCACACACATCACGTTCATATATGGACACGGGCAGGGACCCCATGACTTGCAGTTTGTGGGAAAGGCCTCTTTAGGGTGCTCTGAGGAAGGCCACGAGGGATCGGGCTGCCTGGAGGACGGGCCTGCTTTCAAATGATAGAACTCTGCTAACCACAAAACACTATTTCTGTCCTTGCTGCCAACGGCCTCTTGGGCCAAGCAAACTGCTCCAGGAAAACCGACCCAGAGCACACAGGGAAGAAAGGAAGGGAGTATCCATTCCTGCAGTGGGACCCAAGAGTCGCGATTATGTGGCTTGGGGGAGGCGGGGGGGGGGGGGGCGGCCCAGCAGATGCTGGCTTCTGATAAGCCTTCGTTCTGGGCCTGGGGCTGGAGCCGGGCTCCGGGGCAGGGTGCCAGGCCAGGCCCACGGTGCCCTAGGCTGCCTTCCAGTTGCCAACTCCGTCAGGAGCACCCCCGCACTAACGAGGAACACTTGTCACCCCGTTTCCACGACAACAGAAATCAGACACCAGAAACAGAAAGCCTAAGCCAGAGCCCAGGCCACCCAAACAGTGGCGGCTGGCAGATTTGCTTTCGATGGTGCTCACTTCCCAGGGTGGAGGGGCCCAGGAACGGGGGCGGGGGTGGGGGGGAGCAGGGAGCAGAACTAGATCTGCTCCCCACTTTGGCCACTGGACACACCAGCAGCAGGTTTCAAAAGCCGGGCCCAGCCACCCACCAGCTGGGTGACCTGGACAAGCCATGTCTGCGTTTCCACATGTATAAAAGGGGGTTGCCAACCATAACAGAGCTCCTGGGGCTGTCACAGGGATAAGCGGGCTCCTGTGGTACCCGGCACCGGGACGCACGAGGAGCTCTTATTTGTGCTAATTCCTAGCAATCCCCAACTCCTAGGGAGACACATTCTTCTCGTGGGTGTTGCGTGATGGATCGGCCAGTCCCCAGGTCTGCTTAGGCAGGAGTGCATGAGCCCAACAGAGACACCAGTGCCCAGAGCTCACCCTCCTGTGGGCGGGGTTCCAGAAAGGTGCTCTGGGGCCACGAGCAGTCATTGGCATCAGGATCCCACCCTCCCAGGCACCCCTGCCCCACCCCACAGCCCACCCCCACTAGACAGGATGCAAACCTGGGGTCACGCAGAACTCAAATGTCACAGTCTTCACCCCCAGGACCTCAGAATGTGGTTTGGGATTTGGAGACAGAGCCTTTAAAGAGGAGTGGGGTCATAGGGGTGGATCCTGATCCAACCTGACTGGTGCCCTTATAAGAAGAGCAAATGTGAATGCACAGAGAGACGAAGCCAGGCACGTGCAGAGGGAAGACACCATCAGCAAGCCAGGGAGAGAAACCAAGCCCACCAGCACCTTGACCTTGGACTTCCAGAACTGTGAGCACAAAAAATTCCTGTTGCTTCAGCCACACAGTCTATGGTACCTAAATTAACACAGAGCCCACCGCCAGGACAGCAGAGGGCACTGGTGCCCAGGGGGATGCCCCTCCGGGTTGAGCAGAGCGAGGCAGGAAGGCCCTCGCCAGCCCATGAACGGAGCGGCTACCTCCCCGTGGGAGACCACCGGCGCTCCAGGGAGAGGGGCCTTCGGCCAGCACACAGAGTCTGTGCTGGGAGTGGGGTACTTCCCAGCACCTCGGCGTCACCAAGTCAGCCGAGCAGATGCCCCAGGGACAGAAATCACAGAGGGTCAGTCATGAAAGAGGCCGCCTAGCTTTTAAAAGGAAACCAACTGAAAAACTTGAAAACTACAAGAGAATCGAGAACCCCAAGGTCTCCTCCCGAAGAGTCATATATATGGATATAGGTAGATTAAAAAAAAAAAAACAAAAAACCAAACTTATAGATGCAGTGAACAGACTGGTGGGGGCTAGGGGCGGGGAGAACAGGAGAACCATGTCTAATGGGAACCCACAGCATTCCAGATGGATGGAACGGAGACCAGCACCTCCCTCTCCTCCACCACTTCTCTTCCTGAGCAACACCAGACTCCGTCTTTGGGGCCCTTGCTCCAGGGAGCCAGCAGCATCCCGACTTCTGTCTGGGCCCCGATGTCACCAGATGACACCGAGCCGGTTCGGTCCCAGCAGGCAGGACTTGCGTGAAGTCCGGTGTCCTCACACCCGCACCTGAAACATGGGGATGCGGGCCCCGAAGCACCCAGCTTCGACCACCTTTCTCGAAAAGAGAAAGACCAAACCTCCTTCTCCCTTCAAAACCAAGAAGAGACTTCACGATGAACCAGAGTATACCGCACCAAGATAAAATATGATTATGTGTTTATGATTTATCCCTATCACTTGCTCATCTATGAGAATAATCCTAAGAGTAATAATCACTGACGGGTTTTAGGCACTTACTAAGTGCGGGGTACTGTGAACCCCAGAACTCACATCCACCCAGAACCTGTGCATGGGACCTTACTTGGAGAGAGGGGCTTTGCAGGTGTTATCAAGTTAAGGGGAGGTCACAGAGGGTCAGGGTAGGCCCAACTGGTGTGCTTATAGGGAGAGGGAAATTCAGAAACGAGACACAGAGGAGGGAAGGTGACCATACGGTGACAGAGGCAGAGGTTGGAGTGATGTGTCAATAAGCCGAGGACCACCAGAAACTAGGAAAAGGCAACGAAGGACTCATTCCCCCATCCGCCATGCCCTGGGGGCCAGGGGCTGAGGATGGAGACTCGGGAACGCAGAGCACTTCACACTACAGGCTACAAAGTGCTGGCCTCCAGTTTCTACCCACTGGAAAGTTTCCCGAGCTTGTCTGAGGCAGACGCGCCCCTGAGACAGGTCTGCTCAGACTGCTGATAAATGCAGGCTTTGAAACCATGGTCCTAAACGGGCCCTTGGACGGCTCCTGGGACACAGCCCCACCAGCTCTCCAGGCCTGGCTCCTGGCTGCGATCCAGCACGAGCCTCTTCTCTCGTCTTTTGGGTTTTCTACAAGCACGGGATTATTTTTAGCAGCTGTTCCTGCTCTCAGTCACCTCATTAGCTTTAGAACCAAATAATCCCATTATATATGACTTGATTAGCTCATCAAATTATCCTCCGTTCTAACAAATATTTAGTGAGCATGCCACCATGTGCTAGATCTTGCTGGGTACATTTCTCAAAAAAGCATTTACGCAGCTAACGATCACAAAACCCCTAATTCAATCTACTCTTAAATGTGTTTAATTTTCCCACAAATGGAACGATAAACTTACACACCGAGCATTTTTGCCAGAGAAACGACCATCAGCAGGGCCCACCCAACAAGGACCCCACCGCGGCTTCTCAGCCAGCTGCCTTTCTGAGCGCGTCCCAGGTGCTGTTCCGGGGCATCTTATACAGATAGTGCTTTCCATCACCTGATGGGAAAACCAGGGCACAGAGAGGTAGGGTAAAACTCGCCCAACAAGATTCAGAAGGTAGGGGGCGCTGCGGGCAGAAGTGGGAGCCCAGCCATCCACACCCTTCGCCACCTGCTCTCCATCTGAGTCAAAACTCAGCCCAGGTGCGCCTCAGTTCCAAAGTCACAGTGCCTCTGGCATGGGGTCCAACACGGTGGTGCGGGGGGAGGGGGGCAGCGCGGTTACACCACAGAGCTGAGCTGTGTGTGTGCAGCTGGGTAACCCCCAGAGTGCAGGGATGCACACAGTGTGGCTCCAGGCACGTAGCGTTCAAAGTCAGGCACAACCAAACATACAGCCGTGTGCGCGTGCGTGGTAACAGGCAAACAAATGCTAAGCACACGTTCAGGATGGGGGTGGGTCACCTGTTGGGGGAGGAGTCGGGGTGGTACAGGCAACCTTACCTAAGCTGGGCGCTAGGACTGTGGGTACTTTTTAAATGATTCTTTAAACTGTACATACGCATGCTCTTCTGTATGTGCAATATGTTTCCCAGGATTTTTTCCTTTATTTTTTAAATTCTGGTAAAATACACATAATAAAAAAACCTCAACCATTTTAACCACTGTTAAGTGTACAATTCAAAGCGTTAAATACCATCACGCTCTCTACAACCATCACCACCACCACCCACCTCCACAACTTCTTCGTCTTCCCAAACTGAGACCCCGTCCCCACTATGTAACTTCCCTTCCCGCCCTGCCGGCCCCTGGCTCCCAGCACTCTGTTTTCTGTCTCCAAGAACTAGAC